GCAAAACATAAATAAACCTGGGATAGTACATGTTTGCCTACTACAGAATACATATGAGATATGGCTAAATCAAAACAAAAATGTTCACTGAAAATATCAAGCTTTTAACTCTGGACAAAAGGTGTTCTCACCCCTTTTGTCATAATGAGTAAACATAGAAAAGTTTGAGACTGATGTTGATACTGTTGCTATTTTTTAAACATAATTACATGTTGTTGCTCTCACTAATGCCATGTTCAATACTGAGCTAATTAGGGGTGAGGGTGGGGGGGTAGTGAGTTTTATTTACCCCAAAATGCAGAAATATACAAAATGAACTAACAATACAGGAGATTTAAGAAAGAAATGCCCGATTAATAACTTAAGATAGCTCTGAACCAACTGTTAAACAAAATAAAACTGATTTAACAGAAGAAAAGGAGGCGACTTTAATAATGGCTGATCAGAACAGGGGAAGAAGCACAACCAACAGTTAGTTTAATAGTCACGTCAAATTAATAATAATCAACACAAGACTAAGCAAAGGGGTAACTTGCAAGTCAAAGAAAATATACAACATTTAAGATAAATTATTTAACTAATCTACCCCCCACGAGAGAGCTGCATTTGGTACGACCCATTCGGCAGCTAGCTAACTGTGCGTGCTACAAATACAACTAATATATTTTAACAAATAAAATACATTTATCAAAAAAAAAAACGTATGCATGGGGGTTCACAACGTCACAGTTGTGTGGCTGCAGGTGCTGCAATCACAATAACATTTTCAAATCTTTGTTTCTTTATGTTATACCCACTAATAATCAGCACCCATGACCATCGCAGGCTAAAATCAGGTTTAATCAGTCTGCACTCATCAGCCAGGCCACCAGAGGTTCTTTCACTCGTTGCGCCTCAGACTGTGAATGTTTGTGAGCATTTTCTGTGGCTTCAGAGGAGATTTTACAAATCAGATCAAATAACTGCAGTGAGGATCACGTTATCGTTGCTTTTAGCTGGACATTAATACATTTCAATGCGAAGCTTGTGTTACAAATGGGTGCTAAAATGTTTGTGGTATCTGTGAGGCTGGGGGGTGAAAAATGCAGTCGAGCTGCGTTACCAGAGAGGCAGAATTCAGATTTTTAACCACCAAGGCTTTAACGTCTTGGTAGCGCCGGCCTCGGCTGCTTTGTGTCTCTCTTCTCCCTCCAAATTTGTGGCAGTTCATTGCTAAATAGCTAAAGTACCCCTTGACAGGGTCCCATGTAAATAATGGGCCGATGCCGTAATGGCAGTAAATCTACATTAGATGTCTGGATGCCCGAGATGCATCAAAATTATGGCTCAAGTTTCACAATGGATTTCCTAAACAAATGTTTTAAACTGCTGTCAACGCAGAATGTGGGTGAACAGAGGACTTTGCAACATTAGTGACCCCCGGGGGAGCTGTCACATTACAGTGGCATTAGAGCATTGCTCACCCCAAGGGCAGATGCCGCTGCCTATAGTGGAACAGTTAGGTATATTAATTGAGTTAATGTTATGGAATAAAAGCATGAAAGGATCATAGGTGTCTTCGCCTGTATTGACGCAGTCGGTCTCTGTGTGCGCTCTCGTGACCAGCGCACGACCAAATGCAGCACTTGCACTTGTCCCGATGATCTGTCTCCACCCAGGCAATCTGCTGGCACCATGGAAGATGCCACAGCGCATTAGCAGCACTGTGACGGCATGTGGTGGCTCAGTGTGTGAAAGCCCTCCTCAGCAGGCCCCCACAGGGCCACTGATACCCAGAGTTGCTAACAGCTTTTGACTTGCAATTAGCCAGCCAAGTTTATCAGCAGCAATAGCTGCAGGAGCTGAAGCGGTGCTGCAGCTCGAGCGTGTTTGTGTGCGCGTGTGGTCGTTTGTCTGTCCGTGACTTGAGGGTATAACGGAATACGTGTCAGGCAGATATTCTCAACGCCACACGAAGAAAGCCATGCTGTGATTAATCAAAGGTGGCCGGGGTTATTGTGTTGACTTACTTCTTTTTTTCTTTTTCTTTTTTTTGGGTAACTCAGTTCATCCAGATAAGGCTACACATCAACAGACAGGGCAATAACATGAATTCGGTGGTAGCCCATAAGGTCAGAACCTGCAAAATTGCATTAACTGAACCAGAGGGAAAGACTGTCATCTTAAGAAGTCCTTCCAGCACCCACCCCTCCTCCATCTCTGGCCTGTCTGCATGTGGGGAATTATATTACCCAGACCTCCTCCCAGTTATGATGAATCCCCAGCCCTGAGAAGACTGGCCAGCCCGACCTCCATTTGCGGGAGATTAGATCCTCTGATTACAATGCCAGCTACCTCCCAACACTAGATAAATCTTCAGTGGAAGCCCAAAAGCAAAGCCCTCCAGATCCATTGCAGTTAATAATTTAGTGTTCGAAGCGGACAAGTATTTATGATAATTCAAATGGAGCGGGAGATTTTTGACTGGACGGAAAACCTAAAGAATGGTTTCGAGTTAAAAATGGCATTTGCAAAGACTTAAATTTAGAAGTGTCCACATATTGAATTCATACTGCGCCACAAATGATATCCCATAATAAGAGTGTCTCGTGAAAGCTGAAATGTGTGAATATATTTATCTATGTGCCCAAAGGTGTTATGAACTAAAGTTCATGTAAAATGTCACATTGCTGTCAGCACTCTTATTATATAAATAATGTGCTTGCCTAAAAGCTTTTCTTGGCATATTGTGTGTCTGTATAATTGTTCATAGATCATTACGATGGGAATGGGCAAGAGAGGTGGCGGGGTTGGGACGTGGCTCGAATGCACGATTTGCACTGAGCGCGCTTAACGCTGGGTTACTTAGAAGCACTAATAGGACTGCATGAAAGATGCAAATTAGATTAGAGAAAAGCATTTTGTTTACAACACTTGTCCACAGCGATGTGCCGTCGGGATCGGAAACTGCAGAGCTTCAGTCTGATGTAATCTAAGAAGCTCTCGTCTGGTCTGCTGCGTACCAACATTTTAAACATTTTCCTGTAGATTCTGGTCATTGTTTATACATCCCGATATATTTTAAACAGTTAATTAGAAGCTGCATGGCTGTTACACAGTTGCAGTTTTTTAGTGTTCCTATAGTTTATTTTAACAAGATTCTCGGCCAGTAAACTAAGACTAACGAATGGATACTTAAAAAGCTTCAGACAATCAGTGTGAGAGATGTCATGCCACCCCATGTGACCTAGGCCATATGTTCTTTCTGTGCCCAAGACTCCATGGCTTCTGGA